CGTTTTGTACGAACGCACTGCTGTAGAGCGGAAAAAAGAGAAAGCGCTACAACAACCAATCGAGCAGAAATAAACGTATCATAGGAAGAACCAGGAAGGCCTACAGTACGTTGTGCAAAGAGTGGAAAACCCCCTTGCAGGTCATTCGCCTCAAGTTCGCTCTGTCTCACCAGCTCCTGGTCCGCCTGTGCAGGCAAAGCGAAGACCTGCAAAAATTAAACTCTCAGGCTTCCAGGCCTGCGCTGGAGTGAGGCCCATTGCAGTGAGCTCAGCACGGGAAGGCCTGGTAGACAGCCACAAGTCCAGATCTTGCCCCTTGCACTCCCTTATTCTTGGCGTTAATTTACCTGACTCTGCCAGCAAAAAGGCATCAGGCGCTGTGCCACTCACTTTCGCGGCAGCCTGTGTCCACTGCCAGGCCGCTGCAGCTGCATCACCTGCTGTTCGTCTCTTCAGCGAGAAGTTCATGGCTTGGCAGCTTCGCAAATGATAATACCCGTCGGTGTGGCTACACGGAGCTGCGACCGCGCAGCCCGCGGCGCTTCTCACGATACATGGGGCCTGCCAGCTTGACAGGCTACAGCCAAAACATGAGCTGAAGACGTGTGAGGAGCACACCTCTGAGACCCCATGTCTGGTGGGACGTGCACCACCAGACACCGAATCATGCTTGCTAGTTACGTCACGCCAGTAGCACAAGTTGCAGTCATCTCGAGTCCTTCCTGCACCTTGTCAGGTACTAGTAGGCTGGGCTAGCTGGTCATGGGCTACTGGGCTTTCTTCTATCATGCTAGATGCTTTTGCTGCCATTGGCCATCTGGCTGATCGTTTCAACATGATGTGGCCCACGACATACATGCCCCTCAACTTCATCGGCCAACATGCTGGCATCTAGCACAGCCTTGAGACGAGACGTGCAACGATATGGAAGCAGATGGACTTGAGCGCCATAATCCAGTAACATTCCCTGTGACAGAAGCATAATTTTGCCTGCATCTCGAAATTATGCCGCCGTCCGACAAAACAGCAGGGAGCCCCTTTTCGCCGGAGATTCACATCCGCAGATCGCAAATCTCGAAGCTAAAGTGGGGCTTCAGCCGCCTGCCAACAAGTAAAGATGCAAATGCACTTCACTGATCTCTTGAGTGAGCAGTGCCTTCTCAGCAGATCGCACAGCTCCTGTCGCTGCAGGGCAACCTGCAGGGCAACCAGTCTACGTGGAAAAAATCGTTTCTGTTGTGAATTAAGCATCGCAGATTTCTCCAACCGCAGCTTCATCTTCATTGACTGCTCCCTGGAAACCCGAGGTTGAGCAAAGACTGGCAAATGCATCCAGGGTTTGCTGACAAGGCCGCAAATCATAAGCAAATCTGCTGAGGCCAGAGGCCTAAGGACCGCTGGGACCAGCATGTGTGCCAGCTTTTCGTTCAATATCTAGATGAAAATCGTGCCGAGGGGTCCGGACTGGGCTGATGGTCGGGTCGCAGCTTCCACACACCCGGGAGCATGTCCCACCATCCTCTGCACCCAACCCCCCCACATGTCGCTGTGCCGTGCATGCTGATGCAAATTATGCACCAGCCCCCAAACATTGCCGCTGACGGGCATACTGATGCAAATTATGTAGATGACCTTATGTCACTCGTCTAATCCAGGTCAGAAGATAGGTGGCAATGCTGGCAATCATGAAAAGAGGCTGCCCACTTAAGCAGTGGAAGGCCTTAATGCTGCGTGTTCAGAGAAAGTGGTGAGTGTTGTTTAAGGATTGAATGCTTGTTGTGGGCACGCTTGTTCTCCGTTTGAATGGACGGGAACCTTGGCCCGCGCCTGGCCACGGAGGCCGAACTCGCGCTGGCGATTCACTTGCAGAATGGTTGATGTTTTTGCGTGCCTGAGGCATGTTCCACCAGCACCCTCTTCGTGGCCCTTCCCCCCTGACATTTTCTGAAACATCGCTGGTCTGAAGGCGGCTAGTAGCAGTCGTAGTCGTCGTTGTACTTGCAATAGTTGTAGCACTAAGTGTCTTCGTCCTAGTGGTGGTAGAGGTGGAGGTGGAGGTGGAGGTGGAGGTGGTGCAGGTGGAGGTGGAGGTGGAGCAGGTGGAGGTGGAGCAGGTGGAGGTGGAGGAGGAGGAGGAGGAGGTGGTGGTGGTGGTGGTGGTGGTGGTGGTGGTGGTGGTGGTGGTGGTGGCAGTAGAAGCACTGGCGGGGGTAGGCTTGTGATTATTGGAATGAGGTTGTGGGGGCTGCACCCTAA